AAAAAAAAAAAAAAAAAAAAAAAAGCCGCGATCGCGATCTGCGGCGGCAATTCGGCGGGAGGTCCTTTGCTCCCGGCGGGAGTGAGGGACCGTCCGCCGAATTGCCGCCGAATACCTGGACGTGCCGCCCCTCTCCGGAGCGGCCGCCCCAAGCACCTGCTTGCCAGGCTGGTGCCTGGAGCCGGCCGGTGCCTGGAGCCGGCCCTGGCCCAGCCTATGGTAATGGGAGCATCTGTCATGAGAGATTCCTCCCCCTTTAGCACAGGATCACACATTCCCTCCAGCCAGTGCCACTGCTATCTCAAGTCTCACCTACAAGGCCGGGGCTAGGGGAGGGAAAACAGGCCACCTTGGTTTGCTTTTAGTGGATTGCAATTTGAGATGGTCACATTGACCCTGACTTAGGGCTTCATCCTGCCAGGGGCAGAGGACCCTTTGGTCCCCTTGAGGGCACTTGGCATCTCCCAGGAATGCTCAGCACCTTGCAGGATGAGCCACCATCACCCCATTTATATGAAGAGGGCCCTCTGCTCGCTATGGTGGTGATAGAAGAGGGTTACCGGCTGGATCAAACAGCAGCACCACAGGAGAACCAGATGGGGAAGCACCTGAACTCCCCTCTCATGTAGCTAAAGAGGGGTGGGGTGGGGAGAAGCACCCCACTTCGCAAAGAGACAGCCAGCTAGCTAGAGAGTTCAGGGGAAACTGCCAGGCCCTGGAGCAGAGCTGAGAGTCCCTACCTTGCAAAGCTAGGGCGGGTCAGTAAACAAGCGACACTATAAAGCCCAGCCTTGGGAGGTGGTCACACGCAGGGGCTTGTGAGTCTGAGGGACTGGTTACAGGTGGAGTTATTCTCGATTGACCTGCTGGGTTAAGCTAAACCGGAACAAGGCCCTCCTTATTCCAGAATCAGAGTGGCCACCCGTGGAGTAAATCAGGACCTTTTACTCAGACACAACTCTGTGTAGACAAAGCTCTGAGTGGGAGATGGGCTACACCTGCCATCACTGAGCCTGACTGATTGGAGAGCGGGAGGGGAAGGTGGCCAAGCCTTTGAAAGGGCCTGTCTGAGGGCTGGGCTGCCCTTAGGTAGGTAGCAAGTCTCCTAGTCACTGCAGCGCTAGGGCCCTTGTGGGGGGATTTCTTGATAGAGGAAAATTGTTTTTTAAAAAAAGTCTCCTTTGCTCAAGCTGTTGTGTAGCTAGCAGTGGGGGGAGAGTCTAGGGAAGCCTGGGGGCGTGATAATGCAAGGCATGCCAGGTTGCTGCGTAGATGAAACACCTCTGAGGTTTGACGGAGGAAGGGGCAGCTGCTGGGGATAGGGGCTAGCTGGGATGAACCTGAATCAGGGAGAGAAAGGGTCTTGCCGTGTGTATTCGTTCTGTGTTTGCTACGATGGCTGGTAGAGCTGCTGGGGAAGGGGGGGGCTGGATTCAAATCAATAGTGATTAGGGGCCACATATAAACTGAAAAAGCATTTTAAGGGGGAAGGGGGAGGTCCTTTACACCAGCCTGGCCAATTGAATCACTGTCCCGACCTTGCAAGATAAGGTGCCTTCCCTCCTAAATCCATGTGTCCTATTCTGTCCTCAAAGGACCCCGTTCCTGCCCCTCCCCAGCAGGGCTGTGCACCTGCCCATGCAGCCGAGGGACCATCTGATCCCCAAGCTAACTGATGCTTTGATACAAATGAGTCAATTCAAGGAGCTGCTCAGTTCTCCTCTCCTGAGGCAATGTAGATGCTGCCTGCCTGAGCAAGCATCCCCTGAGAACTCACCCCTGAAGTCCACTCAGAGGC